TACTTTAGAACCAGATCGAGCTATAGTTCCCAAATTGGTTACCAATTCTTCTTTAGTCATTCCGACTCCAGTATCTTGAATTGTCAAAATACGATTTTGCTTATCAGTTCCAATATGTATCTCCAAACTTCTGTCACCAGCTACTTGTGCAACAGCGTTGTCACTTAGACGTAGATATCGCAATTTCTCCAGTGCATCGCTAGCATTTGAAATGAGCTCACGTACAAATACCTAACAGACAAATTAATTGATAAAATTGTGTATTTTCAAAAAAATTATATTGTGTTACCTCTTTGTCTGAATATAAAGATTTTGCAACAATCTGCAATAACATCTGTGTCTCCGACTGAAATTCATGCTTGGCACTCTGACCTGACATGAAATATTTATCTGTTATACTTTTCTATAAATGAAAACTCTAAGATATAAATTATTTTAATTACTGAATATTACCTGTACTTTTTTCCGTGTCTTTTATAATATTATGGTACTTTGTTGTTTGAACCTCTGGTTGAGATGACCAATATCGTACATGATTGTAGATGACTGCAATTAAAAAAAAAAATAACCTAAATATTTCTTGACAGTAAAGTAGGACAATACTAGTAGGATACTTAAAAAATGTTATATAAAAAATAGATTTGTAAAAGTAAATTATTATTATTAAAAGGAAGTATATAGTAATGTGTAACAAGTAAGTAAGAGGTAAAATATCTGTATAGTAAAAAATAAACCTGATAATCGCCGGCATTGTGATTGAACTAATTTCTCCTGCAAATTTCTATTTAACGAACTTGAAAGAGATCTTCCTAATTTAAGAGCGTGCTTAATTCTAAAGGCGGCTGCCATTTTTGTATATGTACATATATTTCGTCCTCGTAAACACCTCACACACAAAATTGCATCAGACTATACACAACGTGTCTAGAATGTGCGCATTGCATACAAGAAGTAGTATACACCATAATGCACTATCTGCTCTTTATAGCTATACTACATTACCACTTTTGCACGTAAAAAAAGATAGATATAGAATTAAGTATTTGAGAGAAGAAGAGAAAGAATGAACAATATAACATGTTCTACTACAAAGAACATTTCGATCGGTAATACAGTTTTAGTTAGTCTTAGATAGTAAGGCTGATGGCAGAGAATGAGATGTAAGCGCTTACGTTTATCGTAAACGTAGGTTAAGGCAGAGAAAAATGTAAGAGATTACACGTATCCATGAAAAGTTATTGGATACATATACGTTTTTCTCTGCCTTAACATACGTCTTTGCCATCAACCTAAGAACTCAATACACACAATAAACGAGGTAAAATCTAATATTTCAAGAATTTTCAAAGAATTCCAGGAAATGCAATTCTAAGAAATTTCAAAATTAAAATTAAGAATTTTGAAAAATCGTCAAAGCATTAGAAAAATATAAGAGGCAAGAGAGCTAAACTAATTAATTAAAATAGCAAGAATTTTCAGAGAAGTCAAATTTTAAAAATGATTGGATTCTAAAATTAAATTTAAAAAACTTACTATATTCTAAAAGTATGAGTTTATCCTCTAAATTTATTTATTGATTTAAATTCGTTTATTGATTTAAATTCCAGACAAGAGAATAAAAATACCATATAATATTGCATATAAATTTGTTTATTATTATCTGTATAATATATTTGAAACAATATCATTCTACAACATTGCATAAAAATATACAAAGCATGAAAAAATGTCTTGACTCATTCGATAAAACATGTTCTTGAATAATTATCTAGCGCTGCATCATTGTTACATGTAACCAGAAACAAAACGATTCGATATGTCAATTGTAGTTTGCAGATTAATTGATATCAAACTGAAGTGAAAATATTAGGACTGTGTGAGTTTTATAAATACATTTTATGAATATTTTATGAACAATTTAAATTTAGAGCAAATATATCGCATAATTTCCGTTTAATATTCGAAACAAACGTTAAAAATTACAGCAATCGATAAATCAATCAAATCTCACATGTTTTTTTTACACAATGAAAGAAAATTATGTCAATTTTTTTCACAATGCGCTGCACAAGAAGCACAAATTTGATAATCACACGAAAAAAATAAAAACATGCCGAGAGTGTATACTTTGTCTATATCATAACATGTTTAGAGAGTACGTAGGCCAGAAACAAAACTTGATTGAAAATTCACAGATTCATTTCATCAAAGAAAAATTCGTTTCGTGCGCGTTTTGATTAAATAAATTTGAAAAGTCAGCGAAATTTCAGCCGTATATATATATATATATATATATATATATATCTGTACGACGACTAATTATTTATTTTTCTTTTGTAGATACATTGTAATACGAAGGGAATAAACAAATAGAACAAATAAATAATAATAAATAAATAATAATAATAATAATAATAATAATAAATAATAATAATAGTAATAATAATAATTAATAATATATAATGATAATCATATTATATAATTATATTACTTAATAATAATAATAATAATAGTAATAAAAATAACTATCCGTAAAGTATCCTTTACCAAGAGAGATATACCTATAACTTATGTACATATTTTCCGTGCGTGTATGATCCTCACTCTCTGTTCCTTTTCTTTTTTCTTTAAATTACGTATCGTTACGATAATTTACTATTATTCGCCACGGTAGCAACATAAATAATAATGTAACACTATTATTTACAAACTCGCTTTCTCTCTTTCTCTCTCATACGTTCACACACATTCTCTCTTTCTTTCTCTCTCTCTCTTTCTCTTACGTTTCTCTCTTCCGCTCTTTCTTTATTGCTGCCTCGCTCGATCGCGCGCGGTACATGCGGATCTGATCCGATGATCGACGATGCACCCCTCGATCGCGAACGCGTGGCGATCGCGGGACCCGTTCGTTAACACTTCCCCGAGGAAGTTACAAAAAAAAGATGCACTCATTCGCTTCGTAAATGGATAGAAATCGAATAAATAGCCATCCCTCGCGAGATCGGAAAAGTGTTAAAATCGACCGATGTCCATTCTGCTCGACGAGAATGCGTGCTTTATTGATATCATCGTCGAGGATTAACAATATATCACGTATCACAAGTCGTCGCGCGCGAATTAGCAATGGCATCGCTCTTGGGCGCCGTGGGGGCGACTTCGGCGAAAGGAGAGGAGCTTCCGGTCGCGCTTACCACGAGGGTGGTGCGAAATCGCCGCGAGTCTTTCGCAGCTTCTTGAGGAGTATACACGAGGGGGTTCTTCGCGAGGACAGATAATAATTTTAGAATTCGAGGCGCGTCGAATGCTTCCGCGAGACGTCACGCGCGTTTCGATTCGTCGAGGGTGATGCATCGCGGCGAATCATTTCGCCCTTCGGAGAGGGCGATCCGCTCTCCCGATTGTTTCGCGTCCGAGGAGAGCTTCGCGCGATCGTCGATCATCGCAATGTGACGCCGAAAGGGAAACCGCCCGGCTCGGTCCATTTCGCGTCGTCTATCGTATTACGCGTCTATCTACCCTCTCTCTTTTTCTGTATCTACGTATTTACAGCGACGATGGAAAAGAAACCGATGGCGTCGCGCGTCATCGTCGTGGTCTCTTCATCGATAATCGCCTAAATTTACTTTTCTCCTCCCATTTTTTTTTTGCATTATATATATATGTATATCAAAACCATTTCGCGTAGAAATACTGATCCCACTAAACGTCTCTCTCGCGGTGGTTAATTGATATCTAAATTTTCGGCCGACTGTCTTAACGCGTATGACAATCTTTTCTTCTATGACAATCTTTCGTTTCAGGATGCCGCCCTCCCCCTCCCCCTTCATCGGTTCCCGCGAGAAAAAGGAAAGAAGAGACTGCGAGGGAAGGAAAGAATTCCCGCGATGTTTAGGAAAGGCAAGTGTTGTCGCGAGTTACTAACGCCGTCCGTTAGTTAAATATTCGTTCGCAGAACGCGCAGAATTGCGGCGTGGTCGCCGTGCTTAACGCACTTGTGTTAAACGCTTCATTATCGAGAGAACGAAAGTGCCACGACGCCGCGGGCATCCCTCGTGTCGTGGTCGCCCCGTACCGTTATCGTAAAAGGTCAGCGGTTGATATCGCGTTTCACAATGGCATTTTTCACGTCGCGGCTCGAGCCGTCATCGTGTCGGAGCATTGTCGCGAGGAAACGTGCGAGTGCGACGTCGGCCGGTGGATCGTTGCTCTGCTTGCGCACTGCTTTGGATCGATAAAAGCGCAGCTCGTGCGAAACGCCCGCCGCCGTTCGAACGAACGAACGAACGAACGAACGAACGAACGAACGAACGAATCAACGAAACCACGGCGAGCCGTAGAACGACTGAAGAACGACGGCTGTACATGTCTAAACAATTAAACGCTAACGACCCTCAAAGAGTACCTGCCGAGGAACGATTCTCGAACACGCTTTGTCGAGATCCACGTTTTCCATTGTTAAAATATAACCGGGAATCCGGGACGATACTCCCGAGGCGATATAACGCGGACAGCAGGACGGGATCAAACAGGTGCGGACAGGTGAAAATTAATGGAACTCGTTTCGTAACAGCGACGACAACGGCGACGAAAGACGTTTCGAGATATCAAATAAGGTCGACCTCAGCGCGGACCAACCCTTATCACGATTGTAATTTCGTGAGGAATCGGAACGGCGAATTGACATTTTTAGGGTACGCGGTGCTCGCCACCTTGCCCTCCCCCGCCGTCGTCGTCGTTGCCGCCGCCCTTGTAATCCTTATCCCTCATCGCGCCGGCGACGACGGCGGCGGTGGCGGCGGCGGCGGCGGCGGCTCCTACCCTCTTGCTCCCATTCTCAGTCTGCTCGTTTTCTCTCCCTCACGGTGATATTGATCCTCCTGCCGCGAGGCCCACCCACGAGCTGCAACGTTAGGCTGCCATTCGACCTAGTGTAGGACCGTAACGCAGATGGAGACGCGCGGAGGCGACCAAAACCCTCCCGTTTCGCCCGAGAATTTTTATCCCACGGAAAAACGAAACTGAAACGGAATTCGGTATCGTTTTTTTTTTTCTTGAGGGGTAGATCGTATACGCGATCAGCAAACGAAAATCTTGTTTCCGAGCAGATCGAAGATTCTTGCGAGGGATAGCAATGAAATATATCGGGGGAGAGATAAAGCGAGTATACGCGGAAAGTTCTCGCGTTGCACGCCAATCGCGAAACGTTTGCGTTATTGCCGGCTGGAAAACGCGCATTAATTTTCGGACGGATCGATACGATACGCGATAAGCCGCCGATGGTTTATCGTTCCTAGATTTTCCGCGTGCCGGAACGGATCGAATTTATCTCGTTCGGCCGATTTCCGATAACGCGACGGCAACGCGCGTCACTAACGAGACGGAGATTTTGGAAAAGTTCAAAAGTGAACAGATATCTTGTAGGAACTCAACGCTTTTATTAATAACAATTCAACATGGAATTTATTCTATATACGAAATGCCCGTGTTATATAATGTTTCTTTTATAAATATTTATAAATAATACGATAATATATGCGCCCCAACCAAGGCCACCCTCGAGAAATTAACACGCCGCAACCTTCGCCTCGATTATGTCGTTCTCCTTCACGATCGACTGTCGACAGTGTAAAAAATCAACGTTTCAACGATGCAGCGTCGCGTCTGTCCTGTGCGTACGTGCATAGATTCCCTCTACGCAAACCTCGTGCATACAATGCTGATACCGTAGCTAATTTCCTAACAAGGGTAACAAACGGTCAAAGTTTCTTTTTTTTTTTTTAGGCTACTGCTTCTTTTGCGATCTGCGAAACGAAAAAGAGAGACAACGATCCACCGTGACAATCGACATCACGCACTTTGCTCTCTCGGTTGGTCCCTAATGCTCATTCCTGTAACAATGCACAGTTCCGCCTATTCACTTTTCTTTCTTTTTTTTCTTTCCCTCCCTCTCGCTTGTATGAAACGTACAAAACGGACAAATAAATACCAATATAATAGATTTTCATCGATTTTCTCAAAGATTTTACAAAGGTATTGACGTGAGAATCAGACCTCTAATCATCATCATCTTCCTCCTTATCTCCTTCCCCCCCCTTTTTAGATTATGTTTTGTGGCCCCAATATTTTACAAGATAGTGTTCACCCCACCCGATTGAGAGAAATTTAAAAAATGATGATTATTATTATCTCCTAATTTACTTGGCGCGGAACTCGCTAGCTTCTAGCAAAGAGTCGCGACAAGAGACAATAAAATCCAATCGAAAGTCTTCGTGCACACTTTCGGCGAACGGTTGAGGATGTGCTCTCTGCGTATGTGTATATAAGCACGGGATTCAATATCTGTTTCTCTTATATTATAATATTAATATTCCTTTTTGTCGTGGATTTTTTTTCTTTTTAAAAACAGTACTTTTGATTAGACGAACCACAGATCGCTATGCTTTTTGTTATCTATGGAATGTATCGCTATTTGGAAGAATAGTTGCAGATTCCTTTTTCTCTCTTTCTCTCCTCCTCTCCCACACTTGTAGCATCGAACTACATTGCGATTTATTATACATTACTAACGTGTTTCTGCGTACAAATGATAACATAAAACGCAACTTCAAAGATTTCGTTCGTTATTATTTGTAATTCCGTAAAAATCTGAAACAAATAATAAGACAAGAAAAGAATGATGAATATTTCGACGATACACTCCGCGCAAATTCCCGAGAAACGATTGCCCTTTGAGAAAATACGAGTAGTTCGCCGCATCGAAAATGGAATCTACCTCACCGTAATTATTTGTGTGCAGTTTCGACATAGCGCGACACAGCACATTCGGTTTATTAAAACTTAATAAATATATGTGCCGATTAACAAATGTATGTGTATGTGTATGTATATATGTATATGTGCGTGTGTGTGTATGTGTATGTGTGTGTGTGTGTGTGTGTGTGCTCTGTCGCTGATACATTCATTTCACATCTTTCGCCACATGCTTTCTCTCAATCACACATAATTTCTTCGTGCACGCGTTATCACTTGCATATTCTTTCTCTCTCTCTTTCTTTCTCTCTGTCGTGGTTAATTACTATTATCATTATATTTATCTATTATATTTTAGGTTTCTTATTTTTATATAATCGGCTAAACTGTGCGACCTTAACGCCTCGAATTTCTTCTAGTTTTTAATATCTATGTACAATGAAGAATTCTTTTATCTCGTATTTACGCTAACAATGCAGTTTAGGAGGAAGTTCATTTTGCATCCTTTTTCTCATGTGTAAGAATCTTCGAAACATGAATTGATCAGATTAGAGCGCGCGATTTCGTATCGCGCGTCGTAAACTCATAAAATTGAATGTTTGATAATTGACTTGCTGTTAATTGTAAATATGCCGTTAATGGCATAATTAAATACGCTACTCTTTAATCGTAAATGTTACTACATTATAATGATGTAATGATATAACATCATATTTTGACATTATTATAGAAATAATAAGTAGTCTTACATTATCATTTCTATAATATAATGTAAGAATATGTTATATTATTATATTATTATAATATAATAATATAATATAATCATAATATTGTTACATTATTATCCTTATAAAGTATTAACGCCCGGCCGGGCTCGTTCGTCCAGAAATCTTGAACGTTTTACAAAGACGAGCCGGCGCAAGGTAACCACTTTTGCGGCCGAATAGGTTCAGTCAAGTAAACACTAATTGCGGCCTCCGTATCAATATCAATATCTCTATCTACTTGCGCGGATTTTGACGTGAAAAATCAAGAGAGAGGAGAATCGCCTTGCGGAGTGCCCGTCGAAGTCATCGCAGTCGTCGAAGTCGTCGACGCGAGCACTCGGAAATTTATCGATCGTTCTCGGTATAGCCGGCCGTGGGCGAACTCGAAAAGAAAATAGAAACCGCGATATCTCGACGTTTCGCTATTTTTCAGGTGCGGTATTGTTAACCCGACGAGAAAACGAGAGATAGAACGATTTCCACGTACCTCTTGATATCCCACGTTACCACGTCTCCACGGGCTAAAACTCCCTCGCCCTTCGGCGCGGTTATTATTACAAAATTAAATTTTACTAAAATGTGATTGCCTAGAAGAATAGTCGGCGGCCGCGGATGCGACGGCCGAGAATGCACTACGACCGGCTGTGGTCGACGTCGTCATACCGGTGGGTAACTGTCACTCAGTCATCAAACGTAACAAAGTACCTGCAACGAGCGATATTATCAACCTGCGCCCGTTCCCTCGAGAAGAGATCATCATTTGAAAGAATTTTCAAATTTTTTTATCATCATTTTGTCATCATGAATTGTACTTTGATTAAACCAAATGCCTCATTAACAGATAATATTTTCTTTTTAAACCAAATGTTAAGGAAAGACATTTAGTTCAATAATCTCTTCCAAAAATGTACTGACAAAAAAGATCACATAATTTAATACAATTAATTTAATACAATGAGAGAAACCATGATGGGAAGCAGGTCGATACGCGGACGGACGAAGTGAAATTCGCCGGTATCGTCGCGCCAAGTATATACTTCAGGGAGGCAGTCGATCTCACTCGCCCACCGTAGTAGTAAAACCGGCATACCGCCAGACACCGACATCTGAACCAACCACAGGCGTGGTCCCATTACAGAATATCGAGATTGAAACCGGCCGTAGAGTCGAGAGAATTAAGCAGTTCTTGAGCGCTGAAGTTCGACGTATCTCCCGTAGGAAGGTTTTCCAGGAATTCGAGGCTAAAGTCAGCGGCCGCCACGGACGGGTCCGTGGTGGTGGCCGGTGGTGGCGGTTGAGTGTGCTGTTGCGGTGGTGGTAGACTACGTACTCCCGGACTACCCCCGCCGTACTGCTGATGCGGATGCAAAGGAGAACCTAAACACACAATTCATCGAGTCCAATTAAATGTGCTGAATGTTGCTAGATGTCTTTGACACAAATAATTTGACAAATTAGAATTAATCGATATTTATTCACATTCAAATGTGTTTCCATTTCCGGTGTACCCAAGACGTATTTCGCGAACTGTTTACTCACCGGTTCCGGTAACATTGACGGAGTTCACGGATGTTGTCTGAGACATCTGCATCTGCAACGACATCTGATTGTTGTTTTGCTGCATAGCCAGCGTTTGTTGCTGGTGTTGTTGCGTCAACAGTTGCTGCATCTGCGTGCTGTTGGCCATTCCCGTGCCGGCTATCCCGCCGTTTTGCGAGCGGATTAACTGCTGATGTTGCATCTGCGCCGCGGTCATTTGCATCGTGCCGCCCGCGCCACCCATGCCGAAAGCACCTGCGAAAAATCATACGATTCGATAAAATTCTGCATGTCAATTCTGTGCAAATAATTTGAACAACGAGTAAAATTCGCGGGACGCGCTTAACTCTCTATGAATATAATTTGCATTTATGCGTTTGTACTAAAAAGAAAAAAGGAACCAAAAAAAAAAGACACATAAAGCGACATATAAATTCGTGTTCCCCAACCCATGAAAACGGAAATTTCATTCGAGAGAACAAATCTCGAATTAACGCGAAATGAATTCTGATATCGGTAATTAATTCCCGATTTTTTTTCGGTTACCGCGGCAATTCTTCATCTTATGTCCCTTTGTTTTTTCTTCTCCCTTTCGGCGCTCACCTTGATGACTTTGCTGATTGAATTGCGAGCGCATTTGCGCCTGAAAGCCCTGCTGCTGCTGCATCAGAACGTGTCGCCACTCCTGCTGGGCGCCACGACCCGCGATGCTGTTCCCAAGGCCGTCCGGAGGGCCGACGCTGACGTTGGGCGGCCGTTGATTGTTGGTTCTCGGATAGCCTAGCCGCTGGTGCATCTGATGCATACCGCCGATGGCGGCCATCCCGCCACCGCCCATGTACATATTACCGCCGGCCGCGTGTAACGCCTGCTGCTGCTGCTGTTGCGCCATTTGCGGCCTCATCATCGGACCTGCGAAAAACATCCGCATGCGGTACAACGTAGAATGTTGTCGTGCGTGCGTGTCGCTCTATTACTTAAAAAACGCGCGAAATCGAAAATTTTGCGATAGTTTAGCAAAAAATGCCTCGGATTCATCCAAATCAAGATCGTCGAGTCGCGAGACGATATCGAAGTAGATCGCAAATTCGAGAACGTAAAATCCTTAGGAAAGAGACGCGCGCGGCGAAGATCTCTAGATTTTCCTTCGGTTTGGATAGAATCTCGGGAAAACCGGCGTCGACCCGATCGATAGGAGTCTTGTAGAGGCCAGGATATATAAGGATAGTTTCGACTCCCTCTCTTCCTCTCTCCTTGCCACCCTTTGCCTACTCTGCCTCCTCTGCCTCTGAGCTTGGAGCGAATCCAGCGGGACGTCAGCATTCGCGTTTACGCTCGGTCGAATTCTTTCCGCGTTAATATTCAACGTGTGATCGGCGCCAAGACGTGTTGAACACAACGGCAAAGAGGGAGAAAAATCTCTTTTACGCATATAATTTTTTTTGCAAAGTTGAGCGCGGTCCAGCTCTCATACGTTAAACTATAAGGCAGAAAGAATGGACGTATAACGGGAGAGCAAGATCCTTTTCTCTCGAAACTTACCCGATGGCGGCATAGGTTGTTGCGTCACTCTGCGCATAGGCCCGGCGTTGGCAAACCTCGCTTGCTGACCCATACCGATACTAGCGTGCATCATCTGCGCTTGGGCCGCAGCCTTGTATTCGGGTGGTGGCGGCCTTACGCTCCCCATTCCGCCCGCCATGTGCTGCTGCTGCTGCTGCATCACCTGTGAAAAAGTAGGAAACGTATAAAATTAAAAAAAAAAAAAAAAAAAAAAGACCAACGAATACAGAACGAATTAACAATGAGGCGGAACGCTTTAATTTAATTAAAAGTTAGAAATGTTGTTAGAAATATGGAGAAATTGTGCTCCGACTCTCCCGGAATCGTGTACGAAACGGCGAAACTTTGAAAGTTGTCTTCAACGCCAGTCCGAGAAACCGATCGGCGAACGCGTGCTGAAAATCGCAATGTTCCGCGTGCGATTTTAAGGTCGGCTCGCCGCGGTTCCCGTCGCTCTTTCGCGGAGCCTCGAGAGGGAGAGAGAGCAGAAGGGCGTTGCTCGCCTAATCGCAGGTTGTTGCTCGGTCGAGAGTGGAAAGAGACCCCGGCCGGCGCGACGAACGAGAGGAGGCGAGCGGAAGAGAGCAGGAGAGGGAGAGCGAAAGGGTGAACGTATCCGACGGCGGCGAGGAAAGCGACGGGCGGGATCGCCTTGACTGCATCGCCTACTTGGCCACCGATTCCCGCATCGCGATCGCCGGCCTGCGTCGCCGTGCGTCTCCTTCGCCTCGGACTTTCCTCGCGGTCGCGTAACACCAGGAAGCGGGAAAGGCAATCCCGGATGTTCTTGCGCAACGATCCCGGCAAACCGAACCCGCTCGCAATAAGTCACACCGATCATGGATATCATCGGTTCAAAAAGGAAGAAAGTATTTCGGAAGATTTTAAGATCGTGATTCGGAGAAGAAACTAAACAATTCTGAGAGCTTCGAAAATATTTCCTGCCTTCTACTTTCGTTATCGATCGTCTCCTAGCGCAAGCGAGTTTCGTGTAATTTTTAAAAAAGTCACCCAAGTATTTCATTATTTTTATACCGCCGATGCGTGACGAGAGACCGAATGAGTTTCTGCAACTCTTACGAGCCGCGGCAATTCCTAGAACTCATAGATGACGTTGCGCGATGATGTTCCCGTTGTTTCGTGCACGTTAACTATCCTAATAGATCGGAATAGATACGGGGCCGATCATCCCGTCAATTCCAATATCGTGAGGCTGTGAGTAAGCGCTAATTGAGATTGCGCGTGTATATGATATACACGCATATATATATATATATACGAATACGAAAATCCCAAAGAGGCCGCGAATTCGATGAAGATAACTATCCTATAACTACCCATTTTTTATCGCTTTGCATTAAAAATACACAAATTGATTCAAATTTCTCACAATTCTCTCGCGAAATATTAACATGATAAAATAATTACTGCGAGAACAAATATAATCCAAGAAATATTATAGAAGACTGTATGGCTCAAGAAACAATCAAGAATTATGCCTCTTCGATTCATCGTTAATCACATACGCGAATGTAAAAGGGTACTTCGAAAGAAGACGATCGGCTCGCACATAGCAATGTTAGCCAAGTTCACGTGATGGCACTCCTCGCTCGGGATAAAATCGTCGGGCTGGCCGCGCGCCGTATTCTACATGATGCACCGCTTCTCGCTTTCTCGCTTATCGCCCGAAGGCTATCCCTGGAAGAGTTGGGATGACTAACCAACCGCGCGAAACGTACAATTAGTAACTGGAGCACGAGCGACGAGTCGTCTTTGGTACCTTAGCATTATCGAGATAACAATCGGGCTGTTGCGCCTGAGTCATCCGCGCCGATAGGCGACCTCGCGAACGCTGCGAGATCTCTCTCGACAAGTAGCTTCGTGTATGCCACGCAATTTCGCAATTTTGCTAGATTGACTTCCCGGCGACGCACGTTTAATCGCACGATCGTCGCTTTTCACGATAACCGACGAAGAGAAATCGAGTCACGGGATACAAAAAAAAAAAAAAAAAAAACAAAAATATTTCAATCTCAATTCATTTACAAGTTTAATTAAGAGTGGTTTCTGCATACCAGATCCTGGACGTGTATTTTAATCGAAGAATCCAATCAGGATGGAAAATTAAAGGATCGTTAGAGAAGAACGCCGTCCATCAAATTCTCTTTAAGGAGAGATAATACCGAATTTTTCTCTCGTTAGAAAATCTCTAAATAAAAGAGAAAAAAAAGAAAAGATTCGAGAAGAATGTATGCCTAAAAGGATCGACAAATTACAAGATGCTCGTGTGAGATTCTCTGCGGACGGAGTAAGCGTAACTAAACTACGCGCCTATAGCTATTCTCAAAAAATCGTCGTCTTTAAGACGTCTTTATTACGATCCAACAGACCGACGATTAGATCGTGAGGAGTCATCGCGAATAAAAGCGTATGTATCGAGGCTTGATCTTGTGCGAATCGACGAGAAAGCTAATTTGCTGATACCCCGCTTCCCTCCTCGATATCACGGGCTCCCGCAGGAAACTACGCGGCGACGTGGCGCAAAAACTTTTTCACCCATTGCTCCTCGTCTCCGAGAAAGCTCCCCCGTCCCCCTCCCCCACCGCGCTCACGCTATTTGTCCTATTTGTGTCGCTTCTTTCAACGCGGCGGGGCAGAAGTTGCAAAAGACCTAGTAGCGGTACCTGTTGCATACGGACGTCGCGGGCTCTCTCCTTTCTCTCTTTCTCTCTCTCTCTCTTTCTTCTTCTCTCGCCGGATACGAGCTTAATGTCTCGGATAATGTGCCATCGCGGCGCGATCTCGCGATCATCTTATACCTGCATAGGCGATTGTCACGATGAAAGTTCTCGCTCCGATAGGACGATATCGTTTGTCGGTGTAACGATTCGGAATCGCGAACGCGAGGATATCCGAATGAAGGTACGAAAACGCGTGGAAGATGATAACAATCGCATTAACACTGATATTACACGTGCGACCACGTGTTATTGCCACAAGAAGCAAAGCAAACAAGAACTGTGCGAGGGTAATTTGCATATTACAAAAATAGTTTCGTTATTCGCATCTCTCTCTCTCTCTCCTC